CTGGACCTCTCTTAATTTAGAGCAGTTAATGGGTGGCTGGCTTACTATTTTCATGGCTTTCAAAAGAAAACTCCGAAAATATCTTAGCTTTTCTTGATCATCAGGATCACTAGGATTCCACCCAGGGTCAATCTCTGGTACAGCCTGTTCACTAGGCTTGTGAATTTCTGATCCTGGGCCATATTCGTTATCTGCTTGTTCCCTAGTTTTTAACAGAACAGATGACTTTTCCTCAGCCATGAAGAGTGTGGTTAACAGGCTTTGAATAGCCGGCCAGGTTGGATTATGAGTGGAGAAGATTCCCTTTATCAGGTTTATGAATTTCTCTGGGTCAGCCCCCAATCCTTCAGTGTGTGCTTTTCCAATTATATAGATCAGAGGTGGACAAGGGGACGTGCACATTAATAAATCTCCCCTCAACATCAGGCATCTGTCTTCGGGGATATATCCCAGGTTTGTAACTGGTTCCTAATCTAGTTGTACTATCTGGAAGATGAGGGTGAAGGGTCTTTCGTTGTTGGAGAGTCTAATAACATGTAGAGGGATTGTTCGGGGTTGGGGGGGAGAGTAAAGTGTTAGGCCCTGTTACATCCTCCGGCATAAACAGAGGTGAGGTAGGAGAATAAGGTGGAGGTCTCTTGGGGCTCACCAGCTGGTCTAGCACTGGGACCAAAGTTGGAGAACATGAGTGAGGTGGACTCTGAGGTGGGCTTTCCTTAGTCTCATGGCTCCAAATTTGGAGGGTCAGGTCCTCCTCATCAGAAAGATCTTGTAATATGGGAAGTATTTCTGAAATCTCAGATTCAACTTTTAACCCTTCATTTAGACATAGTGCCATGGAGCACTGGACATACAGGATTCCTTCCCGTTTCCTGGTCCTTTTGCAAAATAGATCTAATTGTATTATGGTGCTGATATTTAGGGTCCCATTTTCTGTCCATTTTTCCCCATCCTTTGGTGAATATTGTGGCCAGGCTGTGTTACATAAAAAGATCATCTGCTCTCAGGTCAATGGGGAATACCCAAAGACTTTCCAATTCTGGAGGATGAAGCCCAATGGGCTATACTCCAGGATGGAGCTAGCTCCCCCCATAATCTAGCGCCTTCTCTTATGATCTGTTTCCAACCTCCCAGGAGCTACTTGTAATGGTTAGTGGGGATGCAGATGCCACAAGGCTATGCCCAGAGGAGGTTTAGTGCCCTAATAGCCTGAAAGTAGACCCAGGCTGTGTAACTAAATCCTTAAAGGTAAAATAAAATGGGTAGATGCTGGGTTTCACCCAGTGACCACTGATAGGGAGGACAAGGAAAAATAACCTAAGAGTACAGAAAAGCCAGACTGTGGAAAAACAAGATTGATGTTGAGCGTCCTAGACAAAAATTCTATATCAAGCATCCTTGACAGAAACACACAAACAAACAAAATATAGGCTCAGCAACTCCAGAGAGCTTTAACCCCATCCAAGGGGACGCCTCCTCCGATCACAGGCACAACACAAAGACAGACTCAGTGACCTCAGGGGGCCTTGAATCCCCATCTCATCACTTCAGATGAGATTCAATCTCCAGAGGGGATTTGACCCCTAGACAGACAAAGTGCACTCCAGATGAGATTCTATCTCCAGATGGGGTTTGACCCCTAACTAGTCACCAGGGATTGCTCCCATTTTGCCAGAACCAAGCATCAGCTCTTCTGTAGTGGCCAGGTCACGCAATCCTTCCAGACAGAGGAGACTTTCACTACCTTGAGCCAAGCTACCTCCAGGTGGGGACTCTAACCCCAAAGCAAGGCCCCAACAGACAGGCTTTGTGAGACAACTTAGGAAAACAACTCGTATAGCTGTGCCGTGGGGTTGGCGCCACTCACCTCCATTGAGAGATCCTCCAAGCAAAACGATCAGTGCAGCCGCTGGGTCTCCTGACAGGGCAGCAACGTCAAGCCTGCAGCACAGGCACCACGAAGCGATATGTCCCCTCTGGGTTGCCATTTCTCTTACTGAACCAAGTGGGCCACATCCTGGTGAGTTAAATAAGAATCTACACCCATGGAAGTTGTCTCACAAAGTAAAGTGTATTTGCAGCAAATAGGAGGCCATGAGGAATCATTTCCAAAGTCATGATGTCCACAAAGGAAAGCAAGAAATTTTACTTGGTTGGGGAATGAATATTCAAAAGGGAGAGGAGGGTATTCGCTTGCACAGGCTCAGTTGCAGAACATTCTTCCACATAATAAGGCCTAAGCTCCTCCTGGAGAGATCTTTGCATTAAAAATAAGGCAAAGGTCATGGGCATAGCTCTTGTGGTGAGGCTTCCTCAGTTTCAGGATGGCTGGTGGTTACATCTCCTTAACATACAAAGGAAAAGAAACAACTTGGAAAAACAGTTAATTGCTTCCAAACCCACTTTTCAGTTTCTCGAGGCACGAAGTCCGTGACAGTGTGAGCTGACAAGTTCCCTGTCAGCCCATGCAATTAATCAATCAAGGCCATCATTTCCTCCCACAGAAGCCAGGGGTCCCCGCTCCCTCTTGTTACTACAGAACCGGCCTCCCACAGAGCTGTTTGTTCACTCTATTCCTGAGTGCAGCCTCACCGGCCTGCATGTTGTGGTGTCCTCCTCCCCTGGGCAGTGAGTCTGTGACTAGTGAACAGCTGTTGATACCATTTGTTCAGTGTTGGGGGTCATATGCTCAGCTGCCCCATAACCCTCGGGTAGGATGCCCCCCTCACCCATGGAGTGAATAAGAAATGATCGAAATATCCTGGAAGATCACTCCCTGAGCTGCTCCCAGCCCTGTACCCACTAGATGCCAGTCCCACCGTCCTCTCAAGCCCTGACAATCAAATGTGTCCAGACATTTCCAAATGTCTCCTGGACGGAGGGGGTGCTGGGCAAAACACTCTTAGTTAAGAACCACAGGTCTAGACAACACAGCGACTCTCTCAGGCCAGGCCGGGAAGTGACCACTTGCCCAGCACAAACTGAGGAGCACTAATAGTGTGGGAGATCAAGATTTGACCATCCTAAAATATATCTCTTTACCTTGATTGTTTTCTCTGAGGGACATTTGACCTCCCCCACTAACTGTCTAAAGAATCTGACATGGTGGCTCCTTCCTGGAACAGTTCTTCTATCATGATGGCTGTAAAGATAATGTAGGATAGAGGTTACAATAGAAAAGTCACCAACAAGCCCATCTTATCGGAAGTTCTGTCTCTCTGGCCACATTCTCTGGATGGCCCTGCCAGGAGTTGCCAGACAATCATTTACATTTATAAGGGAAATCTCCATTTGTAAAGGTATCTCCCTCTGTTTTGGGAAGAGGGGGGGATGGCCTCATTTCTAGAGGCTTATCAATGTGGAAGGTGAGGCCTTAAATCTGCATAATAACCTTACTCTTGTTTACTGTGCTTTAGTGGTAATCTCCTGTAAGTGACTCCCCCCACCCCCAACATCCTCCTTTGTGGTTAGTTAAACATGGTATTTAAGACGAAAATTTCTGCTATTGTGTTAAAAAACGCAGTGTCCCTGCTTTCTCCCATGTATACATGTTATTAAACTTAGTATTATTTTCTCCTGCTAACCTGTCTTGTTAATTCTTTGGCCAGCCATAAAAACCTTAAAAAAAAAAGGGCAGAGGGAGATTCTCCCTCTTCCCCTGACAATAGCATCTCAGTCTGGGCAGGAGGACTCAGAAGACCCACTCATCTGTCTCTCATGCCGTGGAGGTCTCAGGCCCCTGCTGCCCCCTCACAGGCCAGGACTGGCCTCCACCAAGGTCCAGACGCCTGGTGGGCAGGACCCACGTCCCTGGTTCAGGCTCCAGTGCTGGAGGGAAGCCCTGAGATGGGGCAGGACACAGGATCTGCTCCTTGTCTGCTCCCCTCTTGGGGGGGTTTCTTGGGGTGTGTGGGCCATGGGGTGTCCTCCTGCTCTGTACAGAGGGGGGATGAACTTAAGCCTGGAGTTCCTCTTCTGTGAACGGCCGAGAACACAGGCCCCTCCCCAATTTCCTGTGGGTCCCCCCACAGCCTCCCTCACCTTCTCCTTCTCTTTTCAGACACAGGATGGAAGCCCAGAGCCCTCCATCTCAGAGATGCTGCCACTGTTGCTGCCCCTGCTGTGGGCAGGTGAGTGGACCGAGGGGAGAAGAGGCTGGCAGGACTGGGGCTGTGGCTGACCCTAGTTTCCTTGCAGGGTCCATGGCTCAGGATGGGAGATTATGGCTGCAAATGCAGGAATCTGTGATGGTGCAGGAGGGCCAGTGCATCTCTGTGCCCTGCACATTCTCCTGTGGGGGAAGAGGGAGAATCTCCCTCTGCCCCTTTCCTTAAGGTTCTTATGGCTGGCCAAATAATTAACAAGACAGGTTAACAGGAGAAAATAATACCAAATTTAATAACACGTATACATGGGAGAAAGCAGGGACACTGCGTTTCTCAACACAAGAGCAGAAATTCTCGTCTTAAATACCATGTTTAACCAAAGACAAGGAGGATGTTGGGGTGGGGGTGTCAGTTACAGGAGATTATCACTAAAGCACTGTAAACAAGAGTAAGGTTTATTATGTAGTTTTAAGGCCTCACCTTCCATATTGATAAGTCTCTAGAAATGAGGTCATCCCCCCTCTTCCCAATACAGAGAGGGAGATACCTTTACAAATGGAGACTTTCCTTGTAAATGATTGTCTGGCAGCTCCTCGCAGGGCCATCCAGAGAATGTGGCCAGAGAGACAGAACTTCCGATAAGATGGGCTTGTTGGTGCCTTTTCTATTGTAACCTCTAGCCTACATTATCTTTATAGCCGTCATGATAATAACTCCTTCTTGAAACAGATCTTTTATTTTAAATTCTTTAGGCAGTTTGGGAGGGGAAACTCAAATATTTTTTCTGAGTTCTGTGAGTCCTTTTTGTCTTCAGCTCGAAATAATCCGCATACTAGAGTGGTGCCTCCTGGGGTAGCTTGCCCTGAGCACCATCACTCCCATCCCTGGGACTACAGGATTGACTCTGCTCTAGCTTACGGCTACTGGTTCTGGGAAGGGGCTGTCAAATTCACGGATGCTCCAGTGGCCACAAACAACCCAGATTGCAAAGTGCAGGAGGAGACCCAGGGCCAATTCTAACTCCTTGGGGACCCCCAGACCTAACACCTGCTCCCTGGACATCAGAGACGCCAGGTGGAGGGACAACAGAAAATACATTTTTGGGGTCGAGAGAAGTGTAAAATGGACTTACAAATCTAAACATGTCTCTGTGTGTGTGATGGGTAAGGAGCAGGCTCCAGAGGACGCCACAGAGGAAGGACATAGGGGCCAAGGCAAGGCTGGGATGGGACCTTCCTCCTGAAGGGGTCTCAGGGCTTAAAGCGAGGAGCTGGACCAAAGCCTGAGGCTTCACTCAGGGCTAAAATTAGATCCTCCCTCCTGATAATAGTATCTCCTCCATCTTCAACAGCCCTGACCCACACACCCACATCCTCATCCCGGAGACCCTGGAGTCCAGCCACCCTAAGAACCTGAGCTGCTTTGTGTCCTGGGCCTGTGAGTGGGGCACACACCCCATCTTCTCCTGCACATCAACTATCCTCACCTCCCTGGGCCCCAGGACCCGCCTCTGCTTGGTGGTCACCCTCACCCCATGGCCCCAGGACCACAGCACCAACCTCATCTGTCAGGTGATGTTCCCTGCAGCTAGTGTGATGGTGGAAAGACCATCCAGCTCAACATCACCTGTGAGTGCTAGGCCAGGACGCCTGGGTCCCTCAGGGTATGTGGTGGTATCAAGAGGGCCAGGCTGGGGACACTTGGTACTTTTATCCTGAAGGCCTGGCTGTGTAGAGGACCTAGAAGGACACAAGACCTGTCCCTTCTGCATTTCTGTGGGTCTTGGGGGTGGGGGGCATGCCTACACTCATCTCACTCCACCCTTCTATGGAAGGCGGCATCCTAGGTGCCCCAGAGAACCCAGAAATCAGTATCTGCTTAAGGGATGGCACAGGTAGGAAGGAGCCCTCTCCCATGGGGCATTGACTGGGGTGGGGTCTTTGCCAGGTCAGGTCAGAACTGAACTTTCAGAGCCCAGATGGTGGGGTTGGGGTGGAGGGGCTGCAGTAAGCCATGAGAAGCCCCATTCAGGCCTCTTTCTCCAATACCCTCCAACTCTGGTCTTGCCAGGATCACCAGCAACTTCGTCCCTGCCCATCCTAAATATGCTCTTTATCTTCCTTCAGTCACTGAAGGCCTTGGGGTAATTTTTTAGGAGACTTTATTTTTTAGAGCAGTTTTAGGTTCACAGGAAAAGTGAATGGAAGTTAGAGAGATTTCTCCTATACCCACTGCACTTTCCCACACATGCACAGCCTCCCCACTATCAACATCCCCACCAGAGGGGACATTTGTTACAATTCATGAATCTCCATTGACACTTCGTTATCACCCAAAGTTTGTAGTGGACATTAGCTTTCACTCTTGGTGTTGTACATGCCATGGGTTTGGACAAATGTACAATGATATTTATCCATTATTATAGTATCATACAGAGTACTTTAATTGCCGACAAAATCTCTTTGTGCTCTTTTTGACTGTCAATCTCCCACCATCACCCTGACCTCACTCTGGAGCCCAGCTCCCCCCACTGCTCTATTCCCCTGGGTAATGGCATCTGGTCCCCTCACTAGACAGTGAGTCCCACTGGGGCTTTCTCAGCGGTGCCTGGCAAACTGTTGACAGGTGATGCCCAGAGACACATCCCTCACCCTGGGTGTTGAGTTCCCAAGGGGCATGGCCAGGTATGGCCAGGAGAGCTGTATGGGTCTGTCCTGAAGGTCTGAGAATTCCCAAGTTCCACCCCCTTCTAGAGGCATGAAAGATGGCCTTTGACCCTGAGGGAACGGGACCTGTGGAGTCCAGGAGAGGAGATTCAGACACCCTCCCTGGAAGGAAGGAGGGACAAAGTCTTTCAGCATCCCATAGGACTCTGCGGATTGTGTTTCTGTCTCTCTGGAATGTCCACAAGGCCCAGAGTCTCAAGCTCCAGCTGCTGCCAGGTCTGGGGACTGTTGCAGAGATACCCTGTGTGTAAAAGTTCCTGGGTCTTGGAAGACATGGACTTTGTTGGACAGGAATGGGGTGCTGGAGAGGAGGTGTCACGAGACAGTGTCCTTCTGGAGAATGCTGAGGTCCTACGGTGGGTGGGAGAAGCTAGGAGTTGAACCCTGGATGGGAGGGAATGGTACCCCTCTCTATGTGCTGAAGAGGAGAAGACACATGTCTGATTATCAAATAGGAGTTCACCCCAAGTCCCTCTTGTCTTCAGGGGAACCAGGGACAAGGACAGGAGTGATTCAGGGGGCCATCAGGGGAGCTGGTGTCACAGCACTGCTCGCTCTCTGCCTCTGCCTCATCTTCTTCATGTGAGATGGGCTGGGTGTGGGTCAAGAGGTGGAGAAGAGAGACCTGGAGGGATTGTGAGGGCCTGCAGCAAAGGTGGGAGGTATGGTGGTGGTGAGAATGAGCTAGTAGCCTCTGAGCCAGGCATGCGTGTGTTCCCAGTCCTGGTTCCAGATGGCCCGGAGTGAGGGTACCTTGTTACTAAGCCTTGTTTTGAAGGCTCCTAGGTTCACTCCCTCCAGCCTCAAAAGAGTGGCCTGTGTCAAAGACTCTGGTATCTTCCATCAGAGTGAAGACCCACAGGAAGAAAGCAGCCAGGACAGCAGTGGCATTGATGACATCCACCCTGCCATTGGACCAGCTTCCCCAGTGAGTGACATGGGCATCCTGGCATGCAATCTGCCCACCACATCTCCCCGGGGTGGCCCACAGTCATGTTCCATTAAGCATGTTGAGAAATAAGCTCGTCACCTTCCTGCCTGTTTGAAAAAGCAGGTTTTATTATTACAGTCATGCACCACATAACAATGTTTCAGTCATCAACAAACCGCATATACAACAGTGGTCCCATGTGATTAGTACCATATAGCCTAGGTATGTAGACTCTACCATCTGGATTTGTGTAAGTATACTCTATGATGTTCACACAATGATAAAATCACCTAAAGACACATTTCTCAGAACCTATTCTTGTTGTTAAGCGATGCATGACTTTATTTACGGATATGAGGCCAACAGATTAGGAGACAGTTGTTATCACAGTTCCCAAGAGGAGGGGAAATGCCTCACCACCCAGGACCACATGAAGAAGCACCAGGTACCGTCAGGGGGCAGAGGGAGCAAGGAGAAAATGTGGGCAGGAGCCTTCATTGTGGTTTCCATGGGGAAGACAAGATGAGGCAGGGTAAGCTGGTTTAGGACTGGCTAGTTTGAATAATTTCAATAGGCTCTGGGGTGTAGGGACTGTTTCTAGTTGTCCAGTACCTGGTCCTGGGTGATTAGGGCAGGAAGACAGTCTGGAGCATAAGTGCTTGATAAAGGAAGTGGTCGGATGTGAGCTTTGGACGGATTGGTTTGCAATAGGAAAGGCATGCTTGCAGGCAAGTCCTTTACTATCTCTAGCAATTCACTAGCCCTGGCAGGGGCACTTCCAAGATCAGAAGTCCCCAAAGTTCAAAACATCAGGAACACATGGTTAAAACACGCCTAAATATACTTCTCCTGCTGGGTTCTCCGTCTCACCGACAGCACTCCTTTCCCTGACAATCAACAAGAGACCTATCCTTGTCCCCACTCAGTCCTCCATCACCTCTTCCTGCACCCATATGCTGCAAAGCTTGTCTGTGCTTCTTCAGAGTACTGCATAATAGAACCACACCCTTTGAGCTGAGCTCCCCTCTTAGTTCTTCTCCTGCTGCAGCCCTCCCATCTCTCTTCCCCAGCACATTAGCATTCCCTCCATAATGAGATGTACTGCTTCTCCACACCGCCAAAGTACAAGTGCCCAAATACCTTTGTCTGGCATTTGGAGCAGGGAAACCAGAGTCCCCTTCAGTGCTTCACTCCTCCCACACTGGCCTGCTCGCTCACCTTAAGCAGAGTCAGCTTCTTGCATCTCAGAATCATTACTTGGCTGTCCCCTCCTCCTCACATGCCTATATAAACCTGTCCTAGTCCTGCTCATCCTTTGAGCTCTGACTTTCATTTATCTATTTAACTCTGACTAATGTTGACACTGCTCTGAGGTTTCTGAGCACACGGTCAGCAATCAGCCGTCATTCATCTACTCCTTCAGCAACTATCTCCTGCTTGTTGATGGTTCTGAGGGCTTGGGTAGTACCTGTAATTTTACAAATACATATGTTACAAATGTAAAATGTCCCTGCTGTCAAGGACTTACGTATATTGGGGAGGAGAATGAATATAATGGACAAATAAATAGTGAAAACATATAGGAAATAAGGGAAATGAAATTAGAAGAATGGGGAAGGATGGTCCTGAACACTGGAGACTTTGAGAAAACACCTTCAGGGAGTGAAGGAGTGAGCCCTGACAAAAGATCACTGAGGGCTCTAAACAGATGGAGCAGCAAGTTTTAGGGCTCTGAGGTTGGGAGATCCCTGATGTGTTGGAGAAATAGCAAGTAAGACAGGGTTCCTAAAGCAGAGGTAAGTAGGGGTGGGGAGTGGGTAATGGTGGGGAGGGAATGAGGAAGAAGAGGCATGGAGGCTGCAATATCATAGGGTTCTGCAGTTCAGCATCTCTACTTATGTATTTGAGAAGAATGACAACTTCTGTGCGTGTCTTCTTTACTACTCACACAGAACACTTCACTTCTGACGCTTCTGACACCAGATGTGTGTGGGTTTTTCCCCACATCAAGCAATTCTCTGCAACATCAGCTGAGTGTCCTAGAATTCAACTCAATTCTGACTATCTACTTGGAGATATCATCATACTTCACAGGTTAAGGGCTCAGTCCCACAAGACTATCCCTCCTTTCCCACTTCAAACACCAATCTCAAGTCCAGGTTGTCACCTGTGCTTCTGACCAACTGGCTATAAACTTAAGGTTCCCTCTCTGGGTTCAATTAGTTTGTTAGGGTGGCTCACAGAATTCAGGATAACAGTTTACTTAGTGTATACCAGCTTGTTATAAGGGATATGATACAGGACACAGATGAACAACCAAATGAAAAGATGCATAGGACAAGGTATATGGGAAGGGGCGAGGAGC